CCATCTCTAGCAATAAAGGAAATGCAAATTAAAACCAACTAAGATTCCACTCACCCCTGTTAGAATAGCCATCATCAGCACCACCAACAACAGGTGTTGGCGAGGATGCGGGGAAAAAGGAACCCTCTTACACTGTTGGTGGGAATGTAGACTAGTACAACCACTCTGGAAAAAAATTTGGAGGCTACTTAAAAAGCTGGACATCGATCTACCATTTGATCCAGCAATACCACTCTTGGGGATATACCCAAAAGACTGTTACTCCAGAGGCACCTGCACATCCATGTTTATTGCGGCACTATTCACATAGCCAAGTTATGGAAACAGCCAAGATGCCCCAGCACTGACGAATGGATTAAGAAAATGTGGTATCTATACACAATGGAATTTTATGCAGCCATGAAGAAGAACGAAATGTTATCATTCGCTGGTAAATGGATGGAATTGGAGAACATCATTCTGAGTGAGGTTAGCCTGGCCAAAACCAAAAATCGTATGTTCTCCTCATATGTGGACATTAGATCAAGGGCAAACACAACAAGGGGATTGGACTGAGCACATGATAAAAGCGAGAGCACACAAGGGAGGGGTGAGGATAGGTAAGACACCTAAAAACTAGCTAGCATTTGTTGCCCTTAACGCAGAGAAACTAAAGCAGATACCTTAAAGCAACTGAGGCCAATAGGAAAAGGGGACCAGGAACTAGAGAAAAGGTTAGATCAAAAGAATTAACCTAGAAGGTAACACCACGCACAGGAAATCAATGTGAGTCAATGCCCTGTATAGCTATCCTTATCTCAACCAGCAAAAACCCTTGTTCCTTCCTATTATTGCTTATACTCTCTCTACAACAAAATAGATAAGGGCAAATAGTTTCTGCTGGGTATTGAGGGGGAGCGGGAGGGGGTGGAGTGGGTGGTAAGGGAGGGGGTGGGGGCAGGGGGGAGAAATGAACCAAGCCTTGTATGCACATATGAATAATAAAAGAAAAATGGAAAAAAAAAAAAAACTGTCGTATTTCCATGTCCTGTGGTTTGACTACAGCTCTTTGGTGGCTCTTACAAAGACCCTGTGTTAGCTGCTTACTGGAAGTTAACAAAGGTGCTCAGTTTTGATTTTCCAGAGTTTGGTGAATTCATACATGAATAGGGCTTTGACAGCAACTTAACTAAGCTGCAGTGTGCAGGAAAAAGCCTTATGTATTTAAAGCACATTGATTTTTTTGGCTGCTTTTCTTGAAAGCAATTGATTCTCCTGTGAGCTTTTTTAGAGGTCTGTTTCTAGTCTTTCTAAAGAGTCTCACAGTGATTCCCACATAGGGCAGCCTGCCAAGCATAGGAGTCTACAGCCTGCTGGGGAGTATAGTGAGCAACCAGGCCAAGGGCAGATGGCCTTGGAGCAAAAACATGGAAGTGGTCAAGAAGGTCCTGGAACTTGGTGTCCTTCTCTCCCAGGGAAAATAGCTTCAGAACCAGTACAACTTCACTAAAAATGTCTGGAGCTAGGGGTGTGGCTCAGTGGTGGAGTGCTCACCTGGCACATATGAGGTCCTGGTTTGCATTCCCAGCACTGAAAAAAAAAAGTTTCTAAGAAAGTGTATAATATATATATATATATATATTCATTTATTTATTGAAAACTTAATGTGAACAAAAATAAAACATGAGCACAGTGAAAGGCTTACATGGTATGATTCAAGCCTCCCCAAGGCAGCTACACTCACACCATCCTTCCTGGGATGTCGATGGACATCCAGGTATTCAGAAAAAGTACACATATTGCACCACCACCACCCTCAACAAATGTGCTGGTTCTATTTTATGCCTCAATATTCTCACTTACTGCATATCTTGACATCTTTTGCTCTCAGCACAAACATAGCCCTGTTACTGAAAAAAAAATGCAAAGTGTCCCTGAATTCAAGCACAGACAGTTCCCAATTTATGAGGTTTCTACTTGCAATTTTTCAACTTTATGATGGTGGAAAGTGATATACATTTGGTAGAAACTGTACTTTGAATGTGAATCTCTTCCTAGCTAGTGATACTGCAGTACTGTTCTCTCACAATGCTGGGCAGTAGCACTGAGATGCAGCCCTCAGTCAAACACATGGTCATGAGGGGAAAACAACTGACACTTTACAGCATACTGTGTTGCTAAGCTAGAATGTTCCAGAAGTTGGACATTGGGGGTATGGAGTGGGGGATTAGGGTTTGAATCAGAGCTTCGACATTGCAAAGCAGGCAATCTGCCACTTGAGCCACACTTCCAGTCCAGTTTGCTTCTGTTATTTTGGAGATGGGGTCTCTCGAGCTATTTGCTCGGGCTAGCCTTGAACTGTGATCCTCCCAGTCTCAGCCTCTCAAATAGCTAGGATTACAGGCATCAGCCACTGGCACCTTGCATTAAATGCATTTTTGAGTTAGGATATTTGCAATTTTCAATGGGTTTATTGGAATGTAACTTCATTGAATGTTGAGCAGCAACCTCAACCTGCTTAACGACTTTCCTAATAATAGACATGGAGTTGTTGCCAGGTTTTTAAAAGCAGTGTTGCTAAGACCCCTGGATGGGCAAACATATTTGAATATATACCTATAAGATCCATTACCACATGTGGAATTACTGGGGCTTAGAATATGGGCATTTTAATCCTTGAGAGATAGCACTAATTATCTGACCTCAATCTTTGAATCATAGCTGGGAGAGATTTTAGAGATTATGTAGACCGGTTTCTTTCCTCACTATATTGTTCTTTTGAACCCTAGAGCTGTCAGTGACTGCTTTGATCACTGGGGGAGGAGGAGGCCAGGAAAGAGAGTCGGGGAGATCAAGAGAGTTGCAGGCTCTCTGTGTATTCATCTCAACTTCCCGTGAGAGCAGCTTTGTAGGATTAGGTTCTGTGCTTTGAGGAAAGAGGTCTGTGTCTTAACAGCAGTGACAGACAAATAAGCACATACACTGATCTAATTTTACAGCCAGGGAAACTGAGGCCTACAGCGAACACAGAGTACAACCAAGCCTAGAATGTGATCTTTTCACTAGTCTTGGCTCCATTTCATTCATCATGCCATGGAGTTATCTAGTCTCCCACAGTGAGAACTCCAGGGGTACCACTGTCAGTTCCAGCCACTCACCCCAATAAGCGAAATATTGGGCCGTGGTGAAGGGCAGGGAAAGAGTTTATTAACACGGCACAGGCAAGCTACAGGAAGAGGCAAAGTAAGCATTTCAGCCCATCTTCAGGGTACAAGCACGAGTTTTAAGTTTAAATAGAAAAAGAATTTTGGGCTGTGGTAGGGGGAAGGTATGTGTAATTATTAAACAGTCACAGTCACAGTGTGGCCTGGTTGATCATTATCTCAGTTCTGGTCCTGGAGCGGGGATCTGGGGAAATTGTTATCACTGTCATCACTTGAGGGGAACAATGTCTTGTCAGGAAAAACAAGTTATTACTTCCTGGTAGGTGGCCTGTTCGTGGAGGTTCTGCTGTTCCTTTTCATTGCAGGGGGTGGGGAAGGTAGGGTGTGGGAGTTTTTTCCATCCCTTCTTGTAAAGATGTTATTCTGTTATCCATCAGTATTCTCTGTCCTAGGTTCCAAGATGGTTGCAAGGTGAGTGTCTCAGAGCAAAGACAGTTACAAAATATAGGCAGGAATGCCAAGTTTTTCGTTAATTCACGGGCCCAAGCAAGGAGTCAGTGTTTTTCAGCAAAAGCACTTTTAAAGTACTGGTTATAGTATCTACTTGTAAATCTCTAGAGAAATACTTCTGAAAATGCCTATAATAAAGGAAGAGTTTGGTTTGTTTAAAATTCCAATCCATTTTGGAATGATGCTTTTCAAAATGTGCTAAAACTATATTATTATAAAAGCAAAACTTTATAAAGACAGAAAAATATGTCCCCTTTCTTTAAATTAGATTCCACAGATTTAATCTAACTCAAATTGAGTTACTGAGCAGTAACTTTTTTTTTTTTTTTAGCAGTATTGGGGTTTGAACTCAGGGCCTTGCTAGACAAGTGTTTTATCACTTGAGCTGAACCCCCAACCCTAAGCAGTGACTTTCAATTTCTGTTTGTAGGGCTGGTGGAGTGGTGCAAGCAGTTGAGTACCTGCTTAGTAAGTGTGAGGCCCTGAGTTCAAACCCCAGTGCACACAAAAAAAAAAACAAAAACAAAAAAAAAACCTTGACTATCAATTTCTGTTTGTACCTCATCAGGAAATGGCAATAACTAGCTTGCAGACTGGTACCAGTCCAGGGACACACTGAGTAGCTGTGTTCAGGGAGATAGTGACACAAACAGTATAACACCCTTTTAAGCTATTAACCTTAAGTGCCACAGCAGAAAGAGCACTGAGCTGGGAGTCAAGAGTCTAAGCTCTGGTATTAGCTCACTGTCTCCCTCTAAATGAGTCCTTTCCTCTCTCTACATCTCAATTTTCCCATTTGTAAAAGAGTTGCTATCTTCCCCATCACATTGGCCATATAAAGGACCTGATAAAGCAAGAATTTTCCCTGGAGAGGTAGAAGAGTGGAGTCACCTGAACAGATTTACTTTCAGAGTACAGGAGGTTTAATGGAGCAAGAAGGCAGGAAGGATAGAGGAGGTAGGAGGTTAATTTGGAGGCATGAGGCACAATTGGGAAGGCAGGTTCCTGATCCCCTGGGAAAACTTCCTATCCCTCTTCCTAGCCCCAGCTGGTTCCAGGGAGGAGCACACTGAGGGTCAACTGAGGACAGTGAGCACCAGAAGGCAGCATGGCCATCCTAGGAGGGAGCTAGGAGCAAGCTTCCTGAACATCACAGGGCAGATGACAATAAAGGACAAAATCTGAGAGTCTGATAGTCCCATGTTTAAGGCATGTAATAAATTTTAAGTGTTCCTTTTCCTATAAAAAAGAAAAGAAAGATCAAGACCTGTTTTGTGGCGTGGTTGCACTATTGTTGAAGTTCTGTCTCTCATTCTTAATGAGTACTTTCTCTATTTTATTCACCAGGAAATTAATTTTTACAAGGTCATTGACTACATCCTGCACGGCAAAGAAGACATCAAAGTAATCCCGTAAGTTTCATCTCAAAACATGCAGAATTGCAGGCACATCATCAATAGCCACAGGCTACTCATTTCAAGATGAATGCTTACCAAACCCAACATGGCCATGTCCTTGGTTAGAGGCAGAGAGAGCAGTAGGAGGCAGTGTGGAACAGCAGGCAGATTCACACGGGGTGGGAAAGAAGGCCCCAGTAGGAGAAGAGACTTGATTAAAGTCACTATGCTGGACTGTGAATCAGGAACTCTGAGTTACATAGCCAGAGTTAACAAGTAGCCTTAATTTCCCTCCTATGAGAAATGTGACTATGGGATGGAATCAGGGCTTTTCAACAGTTTGCTAAGAAGCTACTTTTGGGATCCAAGAAAGAAGGCAATGCAAAAGCAAGAAGTGGACCCCAAGGAAAACTTATTATCCAAGAAGGATAATGAAAAGGAAAAGAGGGATGCTGTTGTGCCTGTGGTAGCTAGACTCAAACATCATTTTAAGAGGAGAGTGGCTATCATTTTTAATATAAAACTTGAAGTGTTTTGGTCAGCAGAGCATTCCAGAAAGCTTCATTGCCTTCATATCTGAATCCCTCCTTATACCAAGAGCCACACCCAGAGCTCTGTCTTAAGACATGGCTCTCTTTCTCAATTTAATTGCAAACTCCTGAAACTGCAATCAGGCTTTGTGGGAGAACCACACCTTTAGTCTCTTTCCCCGAGATCTTTCCTTCAGCTGCAGGCATTTATTTTATGCTGCTCCAGTCCTCCAAAAGTAGGGGTGATAGGAAATGCTGATTCAACGTAGGTCACCATACCAAATGTTAACACTCCTCTGTCGCTCAGATAAACAGGTAGCAGGTTCATTATCTCTTGCTAGATTAGGATGAAAAAAATTGCCTCATGTTCCTCTGTTTCTGGTGTCTATTTCCTTCCATTCTTTCTTACACAAAGACAAATTCCTTTCTTTCTTTTCTTTTTTCTTTGGTGGGTTCTTTTTTTTTTTTGAAGGGGTTGAACTCAGGGTTTTGTGCTTGCAAAGCAGGTGCTCTACTGCTTGAGCCACACCTCTAGTCCATTTTGCTCTTGTTATTTTGGTGAACTATTTGCCCAGGCTAGCCTCAAACCGCAATCCTCTTTATTTCAGCCTCCCCAAGTAGCTAGAATTATAGGCATGAGCCTCTGGAGCCTGACTTTTTTGCCTTTTTTTTTTTTTTTGGCACACTGGGGATTGAACCTAGTCAAGTGTTCTACCACTTGAGCTATGTCCCAGCCCCCTTTTTTAAAAAAATTATTTATTTATTTTTATTTTATCATTTTTACATTTACTCATATGTGTACCTTCCTGCTTCTGGGCAGAACCTGTTCTGTCCTGTTGTTCTCTAATTTTTTTGAAGAGAAAACAAAAGATAATAAGAAAGACATAGTGTTTTTGCTAGTTTGAGATGAAGATAGCTATACAGAGAGATTCCTAGCATTGCCTCCATGCACATGTGCATTGCAACCCACATTGGTTCATCTCTGCCAGAACTCTTCGCTACTTCCAGGGCCCCTTCCCATAGTGGCCTCAGCCAGTTTAAGATTACTATATTTGCGCCTCTACACTGGGCACATCAACCACATTCAAGTCTTAGGTTTCCTTTCCTTTCCCTATTTCTCCCGTGAGCGTTCTCCCCTTAGTGTGTGACCCATGTCCAAGAATATTACTGCCCAATTTGTTTTGGGTCTATAATCTGCATATGAGGGAGAACATGCCATTTTTGGCCTCCTGAGACTGGCTAACTTCGCTTAAGATGATGTTCTCCAGCTCCATCTATTTACTTGTGAATGACAAAATTTCATTCTTTGTGGCTGAGTAAAATTTCACTGTGTATAAATACCACATTTTCTTGATCCATCCATCAGTAGTGGAGAATCTTGGTTGTTTCCATAGCTTGGCTATTGTGAATAGCGCTGCAATAAACATGGGTGTGCAGGTGCCTTAGTAATAGCCTGAGTCGCATTCCTTTGGGTATATCCCTAGGAGTGGGATTGCTGGATCAGATGGCAGATCTATGTTTACTTTTTAAGGAGCCTCCTTATTGTTTTCCAGAGTGATTGTACTAGCTTATATTCCCGCCAGCGGTGCCTTTCATTCTTTTCTAAGTTCATTTCTTCATATTATTTTTTTACCTTGTCAAATGCATACTCTTCAACCATTCTGCTTTCTAACCCTCTCTCTAGAGCCTCAAGTTTATTAAACTTATTATCTGTCACAGTTTTCCCCAGTTTTTTCTTACTGCTTGTCGAATGTCAGATTTCAGTAGCCTTAGATTACAGTCATCTTGCTGCCTTCTACACAGCCTTTGTCTTACATCACTTATATCACCTGTTTCAGGCTTTTTTTTTTTTTAATGGCACCTCCTCATTTTGGAAGTACGGGGTTTTGAACTCAGGGCTTTGTTCTTGCAAGGCAGGTGCTATACCATTTTAGCCACTCTCCCAGCAACTCCCCATTTCTAATACAAATTTTTGAATCTACCAGATATGCTGTGGTAACAAGACCTTGAGACCTCAGTGGTATGATCAACAAAGTTTAATTGTTCTATTTCACTATGGGTTCATTGCCATTTGGTGGGTGTGGTTGGGCTATAAGGCATGGATTGGGGCTATAAGGCAGGGACCAAGGCCAATAAAGCAGCCACCATTTTGAATCTTGCAAAATTGACTAACATTGCCAGAGGGAAGAGAGAACACGGGGAAACACACACTAGGTCTTAAAATGTCCATCAGGAGATGATGCGCACTCACATTTCATTAGCCAAAGCTAGTCACATATTGTAGTTCAGGTGAACAGGTAATGCAACCCAACCATATGTCAGACAGAGGGACATTCAGAACATCGGTAGATATCCCTAATAGCTACCACAGTGTATGCTATCCAAATCTACAGAGTGGAAAATTCAATAGTAAATAAATGATTAATCAAACCTAAAAAAGTTTAAATGAACATAGAGAAGGTGGGAAAATAGGAAGTGAAGATCAGATGGCATTTAAATCCAAATATATCAATAATTTCTTTAAACATTTATCAACTAGATGTTCTGGTTAGATAACAAAGATTGCCAAACTGGATACAAATGAAATCTATCACATTTCATTGATTTAAGATTCAGTTTTCTACTTTTTGACATTTCTGGAACAGCATCAATGAAACTGTACAGTTGCTATCTGTTACAAGACAGTCATAGTGTCGTCATAATTGCCTGCTTAAGTGTGAACTTGGTCATAATCAGTTAGATTGTTGTCATTTTGGTTGAGCTAATGGTGATCAGCCATTGCTGGCAGTTATCCACATTGAATTTAATTGCCACATAAATTGAATTGAAGAGATTATTCTATCATGTGTGATTGAAACAAAAAGTTGTCTTGAATGGCACAAAAAGAGAGGAAAAAGTGTGCTATACGATAAAAATCTTTTATCAGAATACTTAAAGAATGCTGCTGATATGGATAAAGTAGAAATTACAAGTAATAAAGAGCACTGCATGGCAGATAAATAGGCAGTACTTTGTTTCTCAATCACATGAAAAATGGTTCATCAAAAATGATTACTTCCTAGATATGTTGAAATGTCATATATCTGGTTTATAGAGACTTATCTGAAAGATAAGAATACAGAGAAGTTGGATGTAAAAGATTAGAAAGGTATACCATATGAATGCTAATCAAAAGAAAATTGACAGAGGCTGGTGGAGTGGCTCAAGTGGTAGAGTGCCTGCCTAGCAAGCATGAGGTGGCCCTGAGTTCAAACCCCAGAGTCACTCAAAAAAGAAAATTGGCATAGCTATAGTATGCTCTTCTCTCTCTCTCTCTCTCTCTCTCTCTCTCTCTCTCTCTCTCTCTGTCTCTCTGTTTCTTTCTCTCCTTCCCTCCCTCTTTTGGTGCTGGAAATTCAACTGATATTGAACCCTGGGCCTGTGCATGCTAAGCTCACCTCTACCACTGGCAATCTTTGTTACCTAACTGGAACATCTAGTTACACCCCCCACCCCTGGTGTAACTATATTAATATGAGACCAAAAAGGATGTTATATTAAGGAACATTAGTAGAGATAAAGGTAGTCACTTTTTAAAACATTTCTTTTTTTTTTTTTGTGGTGCTGGGGATCAAAGTCAGGGCCTTATGCATGCCAGGTAAGTGCTCTACCACTGAGCTACGTCCTCAGCTCCAAACATAATCACTTGTTAATGATAAAGGGGCCAATCTACCTTGATGTTACAGGAAGATATTACAATTCAAATTTGCATATACCTCATAAAATGATCTTAAAAATATAAAGCAGAAACTGACCAAAATACAAGAAGATGTAGATATATCCATATTCACTAATTGACAGGAAGAGAGTAAAACAGAGTATAGACTAGTTAAATAATACAATTAACAAACATAATCTAATAGATATGTTTGTAGAACACTGTTCCTCACCTTTCAATGTGTACACCAAATCTTTCCAAGCATATATGCAACTTTTACAATAATTGGTCATATACTGGGCCATAAAACAAACTAATACATTTAAAAAAATTGAAATCATACCGGGACTGTCCTTTGCTCACAATAAAAATGTGCAAAAAAATGACAAGAAATGAATCAGAATCTGGGTACCAATGACTCATGCCTGTAATCCTAGCTACTTGAGAGGCAGAGATCAGGAGGATCATGGTTTGAAGCCAGCCCAGGCAAATACTTTGCGTGACCCCATCTCCAAACAACCAGAGCAAAAGGGACTGGAGGTGCAGCTTAAGCAGTAAAGAATCTGCTTTGCAAGTTCAAAGCCCTGAGTTCAAACCTCAGTCCCACCCAAAAAAAAAAAAAAAAGAAAGAAATTTTTATAATGCTTGGAAACTAGAAAACACTCTTCTAGGAAAAAAAGAGTACACTTTCAAAGAACCGATGAGTAAGAAAATAAATTAATAAAAATTAGAAAATGTTTTGAGATGAAAATGCTGCATATTAAATTCTGTGTGATACAGTGAAACTGGACTTAGGGTGAGATTTGACACCTTAAATACACATAATAGAAAAGGAGAAAGGCTGAGAAAGTAAAGAGCTATGTGCCCATCCATCTTACACAGGATCCCAACAGAAAACACATGTTACATTCAAATTAGGACAATTTAAGCACCTTCTATTTATGAAGGGACAACCACAAAGGTGTGGGAGGGTGGAGAAGGGGACATAAGTGAACAGTGAAGTGCTGGCAGTGGTGGCGCTGTTAGCCTTCTGGTTCCAAAGGGTGAGTTTCAGTCTAAAACCCAACGAAAAGGAAAATTTAGACCAACCTGTCGTATGAACATAGATGTAAATATACAAAATTAATTTTAGCAAGTAATGATTAGTAATAGAAAAAGGATTATATGTCATTACACAGTTGAGTTTATTCCAGAAATGCAGGTTTGGTTTAGTATTAGAAAAAGCAACCAACATAATTTGCCACATTAAAATAAACATGATCTGGGCATGGTGGTGAATGCCTGTAATCCCAGCACTCCAGAAGCAGATGCAGAAAGATTATAAATTCAAGGCCAGCCTGAGCTATGTAGTGAGACCTTGCCTCAAAGTAAAAGAAAAAAAAAGAACCATACATGCTTACTTCCATAAACTTTGGGCTGTGGTATGACTCAAGTGGTAGAGCATCTGCCTAGCAAGCACAAGACCCTGAGTTCAAACTCCAGTACTGTCAAAAAGAGGGCTTTCTTAATCTTTTAAAGAGCGCTTTAAAAAAAAAGCACAACAAACAACTTTTCTTGAGACAGGGTCTCTATGTTGCCCAGTACTAGCAAAATCAAACACCTGTATTTAAGCAATCATCTTGCTTCAGTAGTAGCTGTAGCTGTGACTACGGGTGGGTACCACAGCACCTGGTTTAACAAACAACATTAATGGTAAAATAACATATTTAATGATGAATGTTTTTTCATTGATATCAGGAACAAAACATAGATAACTCCTATGACCACTTCTATCAATTGTGTACTAGAAGTCCTGATTAGAACCTTAAAGCAAAAATAACAAACTAACCAACTGAATAGATAAATAAAATGTCTACGATCAGAAAGGAAGAAACAAAACTTAGTATGTGTTGTGGTGCATGCCTATAATCATAGCACTTGGGAGGCTGAAAAAGGAAGATTGTGAGTTTGAGGCCAGCCTGGGCTACATAGTGAGACCTTGCCTGAAAAGAAAGGAAGGAAGGAAGGAGGGAAAGAAAGAGGGAGGGAAGGAAGGAAGGAAGGGAAACAAAACTCATGGTTTGTAGGTAAAATGATGACATGTAGAAATTCAAAAGAATCTAAAGAAAATAAGGTAGTTTAACAAGGTAAAAATCAACACACAAAAGTCATTTGTGCATCTATATACTGGTAGCAAAGTTAGAAAATAAACATTTATAAAAGATACAATTGAAAATAGCATCAAATTTATAGTCTATAATAATAAATATAACTAAAGATGGACAAGATTTTTACAGAGAAAACTAAGAACATAATATTGAAAAAATTAAACAAAACATAAAGGAAATAAGAATAAATGCAGAGGTATACTATGCTCATGGATAGATGGCTCAATTTTGTGACTATATTAATTCTCTCCAAATCCACTTGTAGAGTCAATACAACCCCAGTCAAAATCTCAGATCTTTTTTGAGACTGATAAACTGATTGTAAAATTCATGTGAAAATGTAAATAGCCAATAATAGGCAAGATACTTTTGAAGAAGAAAAACAAGATAGGAGAACTTGCCCTACCAGATGGCAAGAATTTCTTTAAAGTTGTGGTCATTAAGACAGTGTGGTAATAGCACAGGATGTGTGACTAGATCAATGGAACAGGACACAGACCAGAAACAAAACCCGTATTACTATTCTTATTATATATATTCACTTTTTCACTTTACTATGACAAAGATGTGATTGCAAAGTAGAGAGGAAATAGTCTTTCAATAAATTATGCTTGCATAAATAGGGAAAAAAAGAAACATGATCCCTCTCTCAAAAATGAATTAACACAAATATAAATTCTAGGTGGGTTAGGGGGCTAAATATGGAAGGCAAAAATTATAAAGCTTCTAGAAGATAATATCAAAGATTGATTTTGTGACCTCGGCATAGGAAAACAACTGAAAACAGGACTTCAAAAGGCATGCATGATAAACAAAAGTATTGATATATTTGACCACATTAAGAACAAGAACTTCTATTCATATCAAAATATGCTATTTGAGAATTATGAGTTTCTTTCTACATAGCATATTGTTCCAAAAGTTAGTGAATTAAAACAGCAATAATAATTTATTTTTCTTTATTATTTATTAATCTGTGGGTCAGAAATTCAGATGTAGCCTGACTGGGCAGTTTTAGCTTGGGATCGTTTATGAAGTTGTGGTCAAATGTAAGTTAGGGCTACAGCCGTCTGAAGGCTTGACTGGAATTGGAGCTCAGCCTCCCACTAGGGTTACTCATGGCTGACAAGGTGACATTGGATGCTGTCAGGAGGCCTCAGTTCCTCTTCACATGAATCTCCACAAAGGGCTACTTGATTCACCTAATGGCATGGAAGATGACTGCCCCAGAGCACGCAGGTGAAAGTTGAAATGTCTTTCATGATTGGGAATCAGTAATAATATATTTACCTCCACCCTACTGCATTGGCCACACAGACCAGCCATGATTCATTGTTGGGAGGCTCATACAAAAGCATAAAGGCAAGGAGGTGAGAATCATTGAGGGTTGTCTAGAAGACTGATTACTAGAAAGTGTAAATAGGCAAGTCATGGTGTGAGAACAGATAATCGACAAAGGGTTCATATCAAGAACACATAAAGAATGCCTGCAAATCAATAAGAAAGAAACACTATAGGAAAACAAGTAAAAGACATGAGTATGAAGTTCACAAAAAAGCAATCCAGCTGGGTGCTGGTGGCTCACGTAATCCTAGCTGATTTTTGAGGTAGAAATCAGGAAGATTGAAGTTCAAAGCCAGTCCTGGGCAAATAGTTCTCAATATCCTATCCTGAAAAAACCCATAACCAAAAAAGGGCTGACAGAGAGGCTCAAATGGTAAGAGTTCCTACCTAGCAAGCAGGAGGCCCTGAATTCAAGCCCCAGTTCTGCCGAAGAGAAAAAAAAGCAATCCAAATGACAAATATTGACTTTGCAGAGAAATGCAAAAGAAAACCACAAAGAGGTATCATTAGATCCCACCAGAAGGATTATAATTTAACAGTCTGAAAAGACTAAGTATTAGCGGAAATATGGAGCAAAGGAAACTGACATACCACTGATGGGTGTGTAAATTGGTCAATCCCTTTAGATCCCTTTTGGCCTTATCTAGTAAAGTTAAAGGTATGTAGATCTTATGAAGCATTATTTGTAGTCCTACTCTATACCTTACAGAATCGAGAGAACATCTGTACCAGAGTGTTTACGTGAGCCCCAAACTGGGGGGAGAGGGGTGGGGAATGTCCGTCAGCATTTGAATGGACAGATTGTACTGCTGCAATACATGAGGAAACTGTAAGTCAATAAAATAAAGAAATTACAACAACATGGAATATAAACCAGACAAAATAATACACATTAAATAATTCCAAATAAATGAAATTGAAAAACAGGCAACGTCAAATTGGAGAGTGCAGGTACACGAAAGCATACTTAGGTGGTAAAAGTCTACAAAAAAGCAAGAATGTAATTATCATGCTAGAATGATGATTACTTTGGGGTTAGGGAGAAGGCTGTGATTGGGAGGGGCTGGTCAGGTCTCCCAAGTTGCTGACATTGCTGTGCTTGACGTGTGTGTGGTTTCATAGATGTTCATTTTCTTATGATTGCTGAAGGTTTTTATGCTTTTGGGGGTATGTTTTTCTCACAATGGACAAGGAAGGGTACACTTGTGAGAAATGAGTTGTCAGGTGGTGGTGTGACCATCATAGAAGAAACGGAGTAGGACACAACATTCCTAGGCGACAGTCTCATGAACCATCCTCATAAGTGCAGTCCTCATTAACTGAAACACTATACAGCACGCGATTGTATGATATAACGATAATATCAACAGCTGTACTATTGCTATCCCTAGAAATAAGGATGTAAAGTGCTTACCTTAGTGCTTAGTACACACGGGGTGCTTACTATAGTTTCCCCCACAGTTTTTTCACAGTTAATGTGAAACTACCCTAACTATGAGGAAATGATGGTATCTTGTTTTGCTTAGCAGCCAGTAATAATCAGTAGAATAAATGTTGTCTCTTTTTTTTCTGGGACAGTCAAACTTCATGCACAATTAGTAAAATGTTATATTCATCACCCTTTCTCCATGTCTAAATAACATTAAAATGATTAGCCAACATTTTGGGTTCAGTCAGGTGTAGTGAATTTTCTGGGAGTTACCAGAAGGTTGGGGAAGGGGTGAAGATCTAGATTCTACGTGTTAGTCTAACAGTCCCTGAATCAAAAGTCACCACGTGTCTTTGGCTTTACAGGAATCCACCTCCTGACCATTGGGCTTTAGTAAGCGGCCTCCCCACTTATGTTGCCCAAAATGGCCTGGTAAGTGACACAACTTGGAAGAAGGAAAGTTTCAATCAGGTGGAAGAGTTGAAGGAAAAATGAGGACAATGTGAATTGCTAAAGCTGATTCTCTTGATGTTCAATCCACTTGACACTTGGCCCAAAAAGATGAAAGGGAATTAGCATTTGGACAAATACGAAGTGCAGAGGAATAGCCCCTAGGTACATAAGTCTCACTGACAACCAAGGATGCTTACACATCCTTACAGTCATGACTGGCTGTTTTACCAGGCTAGCCAGAAACTACCTACCGACCTCTCCTTGCAGACTTAACTCCCACTCTCAACCTGCAGCATTTCCAGCTATACCATACAGAGCAGAGCTCTGACACTTTACCTCTCACCATGCTCCACCCACTTGGGGTCAAGGGTGGAGTGACAGCATCCCCTGTGCCTTACAGTCCAGTCATGTCTGTTAGCTGCGTATCACCTCTGTAAGTGAGCCTGGTCACCAGGCATCTTCAGGCACACACTACACAGTGTTCTCCATGTAGCAAGATGTTTATTTATTCAGCATTTTCTGTGTCAGGTACTGTGATAGTCTCTGAGGATAAAAAGCTAGATGAATGAGGTACAGTTTCTGTTCTGAAGCTTATAATTAAATGAAGGCGGCATCTGTATTAGCAGATACTATACTACAATGTGAAAAGGCCATGACAGAGGTGTACACAGTATGTTCTGAGAATACAGAGTAGGGGGCATCTAAACCAGCCTTCATTTCCTAGAGAGTAGTGGTGTGAGTTGAATTTCAAAATAAGTAAGTCTTAGGCAGGAGGGGGCAGAAAAGGGATTCCAGGTGGAGGGAACAATATGAGTGTTAGTTGGCCTTTCATTACTATAACAAATACCAGAGATAATCAGCTTATAAGGCTCAAGTTTTGGAGGTTTTAGTCCATAGTTAGTTGGTTCTGTTGATTTTGGGCCTGTGGCAAGGCCCACATGGTACAGCATACATGGTAGAGCTAAGATACTTATATCATGGTAGCCAGGAAGTGAAAAAGAGAGGCAGAGAGGGCACACCCTAATGATTGGAAGACCTCCCACTAGGCCCCACCTTTGAAGATCTCTACCACTTCCCAGCAGTGCCTGGTTGGAGACCAAGCCTTTAACACATAATCCTTTAGAGGATATCCTATATCCAGCTATAGCAATGGGCAGTCCAGCTATATCTTGGACACAGAGGTTTGGAGCAGCAAACTGTATTCAGTTTACTGTTACTGGAGTATTAGGTTTGAGACAGGAAGACAGAAAGAGAAGCAGTTTGAAAGGGAAGAAGCCAGATCATAGTAGGCCTTGGATGCCACATCGAGGGGTAGGACTTTACAGGTGACTGGGTTTTTAAAGCAGGAGACTGGCATAGTCAATTTTCATTTTAGCAGGATAACTCTGGCAGCTTCATGGAGAGTGGATCTGAAGGGTTAGGACTGGAGGCAGAGTGGCCAGTGCAGAGTTCAAATAAGAATCTCAACAAATGCAGGTGCAGCAAAGAAGGCTGTCATTATTGCCGACAGTCATTGAGTGCTAACAGTGAATGAGGTCCTCAATTAACGTGCTCATTTAATACAACTCTAACAGAGATGGGATGGAAAGGAGATACTGGGTCAGATCTAATATCAAGAAGGGAAAGCTGGCAGGATTTTGCGACTGAGTATAAGCAGAAAGGAAGGAAGACAAAGAGTAAAAGCTAATTTTCAGACTGGCTGGATAGTGTTACTGTCAGGTTTGGATGTTGAGGTTAATTGCAGGCAAAATGAGATGGAGACATTTTTCAGAAGCAAATATCCAGCAGGAAGGTGGACAGTTCTGATGCTGTGGAGAGAGGGGAGGGGTAGAGATGGAAATTAGGAGGTCATCAGGACCAGGCAATACTTGAAACCATGAGTGCCGAAGTCACATAGGAAGAGTGTCCTGGGGGGGCAGTATTGAAACATGTCAGGATTTCCAGAGTGGGTAGAGAAAGAGGAGTGTGTGGAGAAAGAGGAGGGCCCAGAAGTGTTTCCTCAGGAGAGTATGGTGTCATGGCAACCAAGGAAGTAGAATATTTCAATAGGGAGAGAGAATCACAGTGATACTGGGAGATAAGAACTGACAACCTGCTGGGGTTTGGCAGTTACAAGGTCATCAGTAGTCCTGCTGAAAGCAAATTTGGTGGCACAGTAGAGTCAGAATCTAGCATGTGGTCTGTTGAGAGTAGCTGGATAAAGAGAAGGTAGAAGGAGAAGGCCCACCTGGACGGTTGCTATGGGGACCACATCAGGTAAAGGAAGGATTTCATTTGCAAGGATGGGAGTGATTCAAGCATGCTTACGTGCTGAGGGGAAATAGCTCTGGGAGAGATAGGCAGTCAGGAAGGAACAATGACAAGTGATGGATTTAGTCCAAGCAGAGGCCAGAAGATGATAGTGAGTGGGCAGTCCTTGGATAGGATCAGGGATGCACAGCACCTGAAACCAGGTGGTTGCTTCTGTGTTGCTACAAGCCTATGTGGTAGCTTTTTGAGATGTCTAGAGCAAGGCCAGGGCCATGGCTCTCCCAACAGAGCACAGGCTGGATTTCATTCCCAGTCATCCCTCAACCAGAGGCCTTTGTGCAGTAGAAAGTACTATACGACTACACACAGGGCTCTGGAGGAATCAAATATATCTCATTGGGTTCCTTGTATAGTAGAATAAACTGGTCCAATTTTCAGAAGAAAAATCTAGCAATACAGAACCAGAGCCTCAACACTTTTCTTTTCTTATTCTCTGGGGTATAGCTCAAGAGGCCATAGGTTCAATCCCTAGTACTACAAACAAACAAACAAAAACCTGGACACAGTACAAATACTCAACAGTAAGAATACTACACAGTTATTAATAGTAACAACTTTTTCAAAGGTTAGAAATGATTCACGAGTACAGCAAATACTAAGAGCAACGTTTATAAGGTGACTTTTCTATCCAGTAACCTCAGTGAATAACCCAGAACCATTTTGGGGATGTCTACCTGACGAGTAGAACATGGCTGCCTTGGGCAAGGACATGGTGTTTGTGAAAGCAGTACACAGTGCTTCACTGGGTGCTCCGTCAAATCTAATCACAGCTCCATTGTCCCCTTCATGGCTTTCAGATTTGCAATATCATGAATGCACCCGCAGAGGACTTTTTCGATTTTCAGGTGAGTTATTTTTCAATTTGTTCTTTTTGTCATATGACTTGTTTTTCTCTAGAAAGAGCATTAAAATCTGCTCACTTTCTTGATAAGCAGACTGAACAAACTGGAGAAAAGTCATGGGCGTGGGAGGGCCATTGGGTAATTACCCATTGAGTGATTTCCAAGGTCCCATTCTGTTTTAACCCTCACACTCCTTCTTTGTGACCTTGGGAACCTTGCTTAGGCTATTCCCTCTGCATCTATCACCTACTGTCCAAATCTTCCACCCTTCTCTAATGACCTCAAATGCTACCTCTTCCTTGAAGTTGTATTGCAATTTTCCTGAATATAATTCCTCTTTGGAATGTTCATGGATTATTGTTTAGTACTCTATTTGATTCTTGTTTATGGAGACTATCTGTAGGCCAGGTTTTGGCACAATGCTACAGTGGCTACAAAGGCAGACCAAATAGGCATGGTCCTGTCTCCACAGGGCTCATGAAAGACACACAAAATGTGGTGGTCAGGGGAGGGACAGGGGATAGAGGAGGGGTCTCTCAATGGGCTGACTTAATGGGGAGGAATCAGGAATGTGTTCCGGAAGAAATTGCGTCTGGCAGCAAGGACAAGGGTGAAGGGTGCAGGGAGGAGATGGGTAAGTGGAAGGAATTAGAGCAGGCCAACGAGCTGCCAAGGAGTTTTGTCTCTCTTACTATTTCTTCCTTATTTCGCCTTTTATTATTCTTCTGTTAAGATTAATTTCTCTCAATAAAATATTGACTTTCTTTGATCAGATCTTATTTTTCTAAGATCTAAGTGTTCTCAGTAATTGCTGGATTTAGCATGGTAGGCATAAGAAAAACAAATCATTACCAATCAGGAAATAAAAATGATTCTTAGGAAAAGCAATGAATTTTTTTATTACTTAGAGAACATTGTGAAAGGCTTGGAGAGAATATACTTTCAAAATTAAGATTGTACTTCATATGTTGTGATTTTGGCCACATCAGCATGATCAGCCCAAAGAACTGATCATGACTACACATTACTTGGTCTTCACCTAAGTCATCCAATTGACCATTTCAGTAAAAGAAATTTGATCTCATTTTTTAGATTCTAGTCCTCCTGTTCCAACTCATCATCCACAAAGTAGCCTAAATGATGTTTTTTTTAAAAACGTAGGTTGAATCAATTAGCTTCCTTGCTTATAAAGGTATCCCATGTCACTGTCAATACAATCTGTTTCCTTATCTTTGCCTTCACGGGGAAGGGATTCCTGGAGGTTAGATAGAGAGCTGGGGGAAAGACAGGTCTTCTGTCTGACATCAGCCTGTGTTGTTTCTATATTCCGTATCCTCTAAACGTCTACACACCAGGTGCTAAGATGGAGTTGTATCACTTTCCAGTGTATTTAAATACTAATAACAATAATCATCGCACCTTAAGAATCTCTCAGAACTAGACACCTATTTCAGGAAGATTTCCTTGACTTCCTCATCTCCTCTGACTCTCACAGTACCGTAAAGATAACTCTCTCAGAGAACTTCCCTCACTGCAGTGTAATTGCTAGTTTACTTTAGAGATTCTGAGCAACCTGAGGGCAATCTGTACCTTATTTGCCTTAGTTTTCCCAGCTAGTAGCTTAATTTATTGAATGCGGTAGATGTTTGATGATAGACAATGAATCTCCATTTGAAGTGATGAAAGTGAGGCTCAGACAGATGGGAAATGACTCACCAAGGAAATCTTTTTAATTGACCAAGAACATCATTGGTTTAGTGAGGCACATACTCATTCCTATCTCTAGATGGAAAATTGAGGGCCAAGGAGATAAAATGGCATGCCAAAAGTAACACAGAAAGTAAGGTCAAAGATCACAATTGCGGAATATGTTTAGTTGATAGATTCAAAATTACCAGAAGCACTAACACTGCCCTTTGAAGCCAATCAGTCCCCTGTGGCTATCTCCTATACCTGAAAGGGGACCATTACTCTCTAGCATGTTTCTGTGATTTATTGTACTCTAGTACATCACACCCTGCCTGGCACACACCAGCCCTGACATCTTAGGACTGAAAACCATATGGCTACTTGGCTTAAGTAAGAACTCCAACCAGATGGGCTGTTTGCTCATGGAGTTTGTGGGTGACTAAACTCATGAGCAAATTCTACCAAACTCCGTCCTCTTGTTGCCACCTCTCAGATGGTCCATCATGGTCCCACCATAGCAGAAAGTCTGTCACAGCAGCCTGTGCAGCCTGGAACCAGAGGAAGCCTCAAGTCTGGCTCTTTTCTTGTAGAAAGAGCCTCTGGATGAGTCTGGATGGATGATTAAAAATGTCCTTTCCATGCCGATTGTGAACAAGAAGGAAGAAATTGTGGGGGTGACCACATTTTACAACCGTAAAGATGGGAAGCCCTTTGACGAAATGGATGAGACCCTCATGGAGGTACGCACGCTGGGACACAGAGGACATAGTGAGACGCGGTGTGTAGCTGCTGGGCCACCTGGAGGGACGGGAAGGTCACCTTGTTGACACAATCCTGACATAGCTTTAACAACCACTTTCTTCACTCTCAACTTTGTACTGCCATGTGTTGTCAGAAAAGTACATATTCTCTTTTTTAAAAATTGAATCAATCCTGTTCACAGGTGTAGGACCATGGCAAAGCCTCTCTGAATAATGAACTTAAACAATGAAAGGACAGGAAAGTAAAACAAGTCCTGTAGAGGAAGGGAACCAGCAGGAGCGGAGGGGGAATGAGAGGGTAAAGGAGGGGGAGTGTGGTCAATGTACTTTATATTCATGTATGAACATAGAACATTGAGACCTACTGAAATTAAGTGGGGAGGATATTGAATTGGTGGGGGTGAGCCTGACCAAGGTACATCGTAAACATATATGGAAATGTCACAATGAACCCCCCTGTATAATTATTATATAATAAAAATGTTTAAGAAATTCATCAATAAACTTCACATTTAGAGCAAGTTTAAGTTCACATCAAAATCGAGCAATAAGTTTCCGCATAGGCAGAGAATGGACTGTATTTTTTTAAGTTAGTACATTAGTGCTTTATTTAAAGTGAATTTACATTCATTATTTTATCTTTTCCTCACAACAACTCTATGTGGTGGCACACAGCTTACCAAACCCATTTTATTGTTCAGAAAATAGAGGTCTTGAAGTCTTGCCCTAAGTTAGAGTAGGGATCAAACTTGGGTGTTCTCTCTCTGATTCTTCTTTCTTTTCAGTCTTTGACTCAGTTCCTGGGCTGGTCTGTCTTAAATCCAGACACTTATGAGTCTATGAACAAACTTGAGAACAGGAAGGATATTTTCCAGGACATTGTAAAATATCACGTGAAGTGTGACAATGAAGAAATTCAGAAAATCCTGGTGCGTAACGCTCTTTTTTTGCTCCCACTCCAGTAGAGACTGTGCCTTGGAGATGTGGTCAAACTCATGCAAATGAAGCCCACAAGGGCACAGGCTGGGTGTGGGTTTGCTCAGCCATATTCCTCACACCTGCCACAGAGATGTGGAGGTCTGTTTCTCAGAGCCTTGCTTCTGTGGGTCAGCTCGCTCAGAAGACCCAAGAAAGTCACATAAGAGTTTGACAAGCAAAGGAGCTTTTCAAGGAGACTAGGTAGCCCTCACATAGTTTCAGCACTTTACAGTTTACTGGGCAAGTTCATAGTTATGACCTTGTTGAATGCTTACAGTCATTAGCCTAGCAAGGTGGGGAGGGTAAGTATTTCTACCCTTATTGTAGAGGTGAAGAAATCGAGGCCCCAAAGGAGCCTTGGTTAACCTTTAATCAGGAAAATGAACAAATTCTCTGCCACTCCTTGTGTGTGTGTGTATGGTGCTGGGGTTTGAACTCAGGGCCTTGTTCCTTGGAGGCATATGCTCTACCACTTGAGCCACACTTCCAGCCACTCTAATGAACAGGGTGCCTCGGGAGGTTGTGAGCACCCCATCACGAGAGTCATCCAAACAGAAGCTGGATGGCTCAGATATTGGAGATGCTATTGTGGGGAATCCTACCAGGGTGAGAAATCAGACTAGATGTTTTCAAGGATATGTTAGAACCAGTGACTCATTGTTCCTGGGGTTTTGGTTTTAAGGAAATCAAGATCTTACAAGCAAATGCAGTTAGCTGAAGAGCTCTGGAAATGGTGCTCAGCTGAGCTCCCAAGAGCTCAGAGGCCTCACAAGTTTAAACAACACATGCCAATATTCCCAGAAGCCACTTCCTAAGCTCAGAAGATACCACAACAAATTTGATCATTTCTTCCCAATTTAACTGGTTAATGCAGAGGAGAAAGCATCTGGTATACATGGTTATTTCATGATTTGCTTGACTCAGTCCACACTTCCAGCCACATGGTGGATGTGTGGACCTTATGGAGGTATAGCCTTAGTGAACCAGTCAAAAGTTAACAGATTTTGTTCTGGGTCAAGAAATCAGAAACATGTAACTGGGCCCATGTTCCCCTCCTCTGGCACATGAGGAAATAGGCCCAGAGAGGGACAGAATTTGCCCTTGGTCACACAGTAAATGAGAGGAAGAACCTAGACCATGGACAAAACCTCTTTACTCCCAATCAATAGTAATGATAAAAATATCAGCAACAGTATTATTTTATTTTAGTGCTCACTATGTGCCAAGTATGAGTAGCACGACAATGGTTTACATGCATTGTTTTAGTTGTACATAATGAATTTGCTAGCTAGGCATGGCAGCACAGGCCCATGCCCCAGCCCTTGGGCCGAGGCTGGAAGATAGAAAGTTTCAGGCCAGTCTGGGCTACATAGCAAGTTCAAGGTTAACCTAGCACTGTATACTGAGACTTTGCCTCAAAAACAAAAACAGCAAAACCCTGAGGACACAGCTCTGTGGTGTAAGGCCCTGGGTTCCATTTCTGGCACTGCAGAAAAAAAAGATTACACAATCATATTTAAGGACCTCTATTATCCCATGTTACAGAAGAGAAAATTGAGGTTCAGAGGCCTACGAGGACACTGCCAGTAAATAGCAGGGTTCAGATTTGTACGCAGGTCTCCATGACTCCAAAGTCCATGACTGAATTGCTTAAGAGTGAATGCTGAGTGGGTGGTCCTGTTGCAAGGACTTTGGAGGGAGGAGAGACATGGGAATGGAAAAGTGGAGGCATTTTTAGGCTTTTGATGTAATAGCCTGTTTCTTTTTTTCCTACTATTTTGGGTCTTGGCAGAAAACCAGAGAGGTGTATGGGAAGGAACCGTGGGATTGTGAGGAAGAGGAGCTGGCTGAGATCCTGGTGAGTGGAGCAAGAACAGCTTGGGGCTGACACAATCCCCGTTCCGAGTGCACATGGTGTCCTCTACAAAGCATGTTCCCACACTCTCCTCTACCTCTCCCAGCAGACCTGGGACCGGGTAGGGCCCAGGGGGACCCAGGAATACTTCATGTACCTTTATCGCTTAACTCTACAGCAAGAAGAGCTGCCAGATACAGAGAAATATGAAATTAATAAATTCCACTTCAGCGACTTGCCCCTCACTGAACTGGAGCTGGTGAAATGTGGGATTCAGATGTATTATGAGCTCCGAGTGGTGGATAAGTTCCATATCCCACAGGAGGTGAGGGCAACACAAACATCTTTGGTTTTTCCTTTCCTTTTTTTTTTTGTTTTTTGTTTTCTTGTTAAAAAAAAAAAAAGATAGCTCAATCTGTCAAGTACCAAGAACAGCATACCCTCAGCATTTGGGATTTAAAGCATTGGTCAGGTTGCACAGCTGAGTCATCAATCAGAAAAAAGACACCCAGTGCTCTGAGCTGAGGACCTTCAGTGCTTTGGCTGCCTGCAGTGGGCCCTGAGGCACTGAGTTTTGAAGGCTGGGAATAAATGGATGTCTAACAAGGCTGGGAGATGTGAGTTAAATCCATTGAGACAGGTTTCTTCCCCTGCAGGACCGTGTAAGAAAGTGCACTGTGAGCCTAGGGGATGGGAGAATGGACAGAGAAGCTGGTGGGGAGGGAGAATTTCTCAGACTTTGAACACTGGCAAAGTGTTGCCCCAAGTGGCATCACTTTGATGTAACAGGCATTGTCAGAATCACAAATCTGGTCATACACTCTCCCAGCTCCAGTGAAGCAGAAACTATTGAACAAGCCCTCCAGGTGATTCTGATGTGCACTCAAGTTTAAGAACCACAGAATTTAAGAGCCCTTTGTTTTCCTCTCCTGTGAGGTGGCCTGTCCACTTCTCCTAGGCCAATTGCTCTCTGGGGCACTGTGGAATCACTGATGATTAAGTGGAATGACTCATGCTCACACTTGTTTCCTAATGACATCCATTTTCACAGTACAGAGCAGTCTGCAAAGTGCCTTCATCATGGTTCTGTGTCTTGCTAGCCCCCACTCTGGTTCAGTGGCAGGGTTGGAGGGCCCTGGGCCTGGGAGGGAGGCCCTGGGCACCTGGCCAGTGTGCGCTGCCTTGCTGACACGTGTGTGTTCACAGACCCTGGTGCGGTTCATGTACTCCCTGAGCAAGGGTTACCGCAGGATCACCTACCACAACTGGAGGCACGGCTTCAACGTGGGCCAAACCATGTTCTCCTTGCTGGTGGTACGCAGGGGCCGCTGTGGGGGGAGGGGAGAATCTGCCTTGGCTGTGGCTCAGGCCACATGGAACAACCGTGGGCTCCACATGGAAGTCACAGCATTGTCATTTTTGTTACCTTTTAAGAATTGCAAAAGTAGTACCTGCATAAAAGAATCCCAAGAACAAGCCAGGTGTGGTGGTGCACATCTGTGATCTCAGTACTCAGGAGGTGGAGGCAGGAGGATCTTGAGTTCAAGGCCAGCCTGGGCTACATACCGAGACCCTGCCCTCTGCCCCCAAAAATATACAAGAATAAAAAAGCATATAAAACATAAAAAGTGAAAGGAAGCTGGGCATGGTGGGGCATGTCTATAATCCCAGCACTCAAGAGGCTGAGGGAGGAGGATCGTGAGTTTGAGGGCAGCCTGCGCTGCATAGTGAGACCCTGTCTCAACAAAACCAAAAACAAACAAATAAAAAGTGAGAGGAAGCTGCAGTCAACCTCAATCTTGGTCTGGTTATTTGGAGATAACCATGGCACAAGTCCTTCCAAATTTTCTTTTCTCACACCCATGCACCCTCATACAGAAACTTACACACCATGTATTTAGCTTATAACCAACGGGATATTATTCTATAATATGTTTTATCATTCGAAGATACATAAATATTATCACATTCCTCTATTTTATGTTTATGTAGGTATACCACCATTCTTTCCTTAGATTAGCATGTAATATATAAAGACACTTTTCTATGACCTTTGATCACTCAGTGACATTAAGTCCATCCAAAATGCTGTGCCTCCTTCACCACGACCCATCTCTACAACTTTCTCACCGTCTCAGACAAAACCTCTGCCCTCACTAAGCACCACTCCAATTCCTACTGCCCCCAAGTCCCTGGGAACCCCTGTTCTGTTTTCTGTCTGTGGGTTTGAGTACTATAGGTCCTGCATGTAAGTGCAGTCACACAGCATTTTGTGTGTGTGTGTGTGTGTGTGTGTGTGTGTGTGTGTGTGTGTCTGGCTTATTTCACTTAGCACAATGTCTTCAAGGTTCTGCCACACTGCAATTTTATATCTGCATATTACAGTCATCCCTTGATATCTGTGTGTTGTTCTTGGACACCCCCCATGTCAAATACCAAAATCAACAGATACTCAAGTCCCTTATGTAAAATGGTATTCAATATAATCTATGCACATCGTCCTGCATGCTTTTTTGTTTGTTTATTGTTCATTTGTAGTCTTGATTTGTCTTGGTATGTAGCCCAAGCTGGCCTCAACCCTATGAATCTCCTGTTGCAGCTTCCTGAGTGCTGGAATTACAGATATGCGCCACCACACCTGGCTTCTCCTGTATACTTTAAATCATCTTTAGATTACACATACTACGGAATACAATGTATGCTATTTAAATTGTTTAGGGAATAATAAGTAGAAAAAAGTCTGTATATGTTCAGTACAGACACAATTCTTTTGTGTGTGTGTGTGTGTGTGTGTGTGTGTGTGGTATTGAGGTTTGAACTCAGGGCCTAAACCTTGAGCCACTCCACTAGACCTTTTCTGTGAAGAATTTTTTTGAGATGGGGTCTCTTGAACTATTTGCCTGGGCTGGCTTTGAGCCATGATCCTCCTGATCTCTGCCTCCTGAGAAGCTAAGATTACAGGTGTGAGCCATGGGTGCCCACAGACACAATTCTTAAAGGGTTTCATTATGACATTTTCATATGTATACAGAATGTACCTTGCTCATATTCACCCTAAGAATACCTTTCCCCCCATCTGCCACTGTTACCTCTGCCCAAGAGTCTCCTTTTTGCTTTTTTCATAGTCTTTTAAAATTTATTATTTATTTATTTATTTGTGCTAGGATTTGAACTCAGGGCTTGCTAAGCAGGCCCTCTACCACTTAAGCCACATTGTCATCCCTAAAATATTCTTTTATACTAGTTGTATGTTAGTTGTACAAAAGGGTTTCATGCATATAGTATACGTTGGTCAAATACACCCCTCTGTCCTTCCTCTTCATCACCCCCTTCTTAAAACGATTTTACAGGTTTCATAGTTCTATTTTCATACTTCAACCATATTCAACCCTCTTCGCCTTCTCATTTCAGCACCCCTCCCACTAATACCCACACCCAAACAGAACCTGTTTTACATTCCTGATATTCTTTTCATAGAGTAACTCCTCATATGAGACAGAACATGTGGCATTTGTCTTTCTCAGTCTGGCTTATTTCGCTTAACATGATGATCTCTAGCTCCATCCATTTTCCTGTAAGTGACATAACACAGTCTTCTTTATGGCTGAGTAATACTCCAGTGTGGGGTGTGTGTGTGTGTGTGTGTGTGCGCCACATTTCGTTTATCCATTCATTGGTTGATGGGCACCTAGGTTTATTCCATATTTTGGCTATTGTGAATAGTGCCGCTATAAACATGGGTGTGCAGGTATCTTGACTATATGCTGACTTACAGTCAGCATATACACCCAGGCGTGGTATGTATCTATCCTCGAGATGGATAGTCCTATCTTTAGATTTTTAAGGAACCTACATACTGGTCTCCGTAGTGGCTGCACTAATTTACCCTCCCACCAACAGTATATGAGGGTTCCTTCCCTGCCCCCTGCTCCAGCATCTGTTGTTGTTTGTTTACTTGATAGGCATTCTGACTAGGGTGAGGTGGAATCTCAGTGTTGGTTTGATTTACATTTCCTTTATGGCAGGGATGGTGAACATTTCTTCATATGTTTATTGGCCATTTGTAATTCTTTTGAGAACTGTCTGCTCAATGCATTTCCCTATTTATTGACTAGATTATTTGTTCTTTTGGTGTTTAATTTTTTGAGCTCATTATACATTCTAGATCTTCATCTCTTGTCAGATGAATAGCTAGCAAAGATTTTCTCCCATTCTGTGACTATCTCTTTTCTTTGGTTATTGTTTCCTTTGCTGTGCAGAAACTTTCTAATTTGATGCATTGTCTTCATCCTTCATCAATTCTTGCTCTTATTTCCTGAGCTCCTGGTGTCCTATAGAGGCATATGCCTCTATATTCAAGTGTTTGTCCTGTGTTTTTCTCTAGTAGTTTCAATGTTTCACGTCTTACATTAAGATCTTCGATCCACTTTGAATTGATTTTTTTACAGGATGAGAGAGATCTAGTTTTAGTCTTCTACATATGGATACCTAGCTTCCCAACACTATTCGTTGAAAAGGCTCTCTTTTCTGCAGTGTATGTTTTTGGCTGTGGCTGTGTGGGCTTATTTCTGGGTCCTCTGTTCTGTTCAGTTGGTCTAAGCATCTATTTTTGTTCCGGTACCATACTGGTTTTGTTACTGTGGCCCTATAGTATAATTTGAAGTCAGGTATTATAAAATTCCTCCATCATTGCTCTTTTTGCTCAGGATTGCTTTAGCTATTCAAGGTCTTTTGTGTTTCTATACAAATTTTAGGGTTGTTTTTTCTATTTCTGTGAAGAATGTCATTGGGATTTTATGGGGATTACATTAAATTTGTAGATCACTTTAGTAGTATAACCATTTTCATAATATTCTGCTGAACATCGGATGTCGTCCCATCTTCTAATACCTTCTTCAATTTCCTTCTCCAGTGTTTTATAGTTTCATTGTAGAAGTCTTTCACCGCCTTGGTTTGGATGGTTTGCTTTTGCCAGTTTGGTCATGTTCAAAATCCTTCTAAATCCTGAAACCTGGTGGTTGCAAGTTTCTCAAAGAAACGCCTCAGTACAGCACCTTCCACCGTCAGTGTGCTGATTGGGGATCCTGGCATGAGCCCAGCTAAGGGAATAGGTCACTTAGGAATCTGGTGCCCAGCTGTCTCTGTTTGCCTGGGACTGTTCCAGTTGTAACATTGAAAGTTCCATGCCCCACAAAACTGTTCATCCTACAGCAAACTTCTGATCACACTGAGGAGCTAGAGCTAGAGCTAGAGCCAAGTTCAGCCCATGCGTGCAAGCTCCAGGCTCTCCTGCTCCACCTGTGCTCTCAGCCCAGCTTCTACTCCCACAAAGTAGGGGTGACTTATATCTCTGATTGCTCTTCCAGACTGGGAAGCTGAAGCGATACTTCACTGACCTAGAGGCCTTGGCCATGGTCACTGCTGCCTTCTGCCATGACATTGACCACAGAGGCACCAACAACCTCTACCAGATGAAGTGAGTTAGCCCTCACTAGCCTCTCACCATTCCCCAACCTCTTCCCCTAGAATTCATTACCCAGGTCTGCATGGCCCCCAGACTGGCCAAGGAAAAGTACCACCATCCCAGCTTCCCATTCCTCCTGCCCTCGGGATTTGGGTCTACTCCTGAGGTAGACAGAATAATGATCTCCCAAAAATGTCTACATCCTAAACCCAAGAGCCTGGGAATATGTTGTTTGGCATTTTCAGGGTTGATGTCCAAAATATGTAAGGAACACAAACAACTCAATATAGGAAACCAAATAACCTGTTTTAAAAGGGGACTTTTCAGATGTGATTAAATTAAGGAACTTGGGATAGAGAGGGATGATCCAGGTGGCACCTTATAGTCCAAAAGGGACCTAGTAAGAGGGAGGCAGGAGGTCAGAGAGGAGAGAAGATGCTACTTTGCTGGCTTAGAAGATGGATGAAGGGGCTACAAACAAGGAAGGCTAGAGGCCTCTAGAAGCTGGAAAGGCAAGAAAGCAGACTCCCCGCTATGGTCTCCCGAAGATGGCATCCCTTGAGACCTGCTTTAAATTTCTGAACCCCAGAACTGTAAGATAGCACATTTTTATTGTTTTAAACCACTGACTCTGGTGGTTTGTTACAGCAGCAATAGGAAACTAATACATTAAACTCCTTTACTCTCCTTGTCGCTGTCCTATCTGCTGAACTAGTTTGAGCCAAGATGTCGGTAACCAGTAGTGTTCATTCATTCATCTTGTATTCGTAATGTTCCTAATGTGACACGGTACGGTGCATGCTAGCTGAAGAAAGTATGATGGAGAGCAAAACAGACCATCCACGTCCTCACAGAGCTTGTGTTCCAGTCAGCCTCTGAAGTGCAGTCCTTGAACCATGGTCTTGTTGGAACTTCATGACCACCCTGTGGGCTGGGCACGTTACAGATGAGGAAACTGAGACTCTACTCAGGGCCACGGTGTGTAAGACACTAAGGAGCACTAGACTGCTTCCCAAGTCTCCCCAACACCCCCAGGCTGCTCCAAGGCTAGAGACTGTGTCTACCTTTTACACCGTGGAAGTCTGAGCACCGGCACAATGCTTGGCTCATAGTAAGTGTCCAACCAATATTTATTACATAAAAAAGGAATAAACATACTACTTGTGGGAATTAAATTGCTTCCCCTTAGACTCAGGTATGGAGGAGCAGGAGCTACTGATCTTCAAATCACGGTCAGGGTTTGGGTCCACGGATGACTACAGGGGACCTACAGATCTCTAAAACTGCTGGTGGCATTGTGTGTGCTTGTGCCCTTTTCCTGGTAAGGATCCACACCAGGGCCCACGATCCAGAAGAGACTCAGAATCACTTGTACAGAAAACTAAAGCTAAAATCACTTGCAAGGAAACTTGAAAGCTAAGTCCTCATCCCACTCTGTGACCTTGTGAAAGATCCTTTCATTCCTAAACTTCAATCTCTGTCTGCAGGACTAGATTATAACGTCTTTAACCTCCATCTTGGCCATTATCCATGTTGATATTCTCTCTCTCCTTCTCTCTCTCTTTCTCCCTTCCTCCCTCCCTCCCTTCCTGTCTCAGATCCCAGAATCCACTGGCCAAGCTCCATGGGTCCTCCATCTTGGAAAGACACCACTTGGAGTTTGGCAAAACACTGCTGAGGGATGAGGTAGGAGAAGGTCATCTAACAAGAAGCCTGAGTGAGCCCAGGCAGTCTTCTTCCCACTGGCCTGGGCTGCCATTCTTTACCATCGTCTAGGGTGGCCACTGGTAGGTGGGTGAGTTTACTGCCGGCACCATTTCTCACATCTCTCCTCTGATTTTCCCTTTAGAGCTTGAATATTTTTCAAAATCTCAACCGTCGTCAGCATGAGCATGCTATCCACATGATGGACATTGCAATCATTGCCACAGACCTTGCTCTGTATTTCAAGTTGGTATCGCTCTCATTTAATACCAAGAATAACCGTGTTTATAATAGCAACTGCCATACTTCCTATTGATCTTTGTTATGTGACAGGTCCAGCACTACAACCCTGTGAGTCAGGTGTTATTTCCCCATTCTACAGATGGGGAAATGAATGTCCAAGGCAAGAAATTTGATGAAATCATATAGCAAATCAGTTCAGAGTCTGGGCTAGAACCTGAATCTTCAATCCCAGGCTATGATTCTTTTAACCCTGTTTTGTTAATTTACTAATCCCCCATCTGAAATGGCCAGTGTTAAAAGCCCAGGTGTTGTCTTTTTCTAACACGTGTTCCCTTTAATAAACTGGTGTGTTTTGTAGGAAGCGGACAATGTTCCAAAAGATCGTGGATCAGTCTAAGACCTTTGAGAGTGCGCAGGAGTGGACGCAGTACATGATGCTGGAGCAGACGCGGAAGGAAATCGTTATGTGAGTCAAGGCAGGGTTTAAACTCTGGCCCTTGTTAGTCTGGGGTCAAAAGATGGGAGGCTGCACTGACAGCTCTCACTGCTCTCAACAGAGCCGGGGACGATTGCCATTTCAGAGGTCTTTCACATATGAAAAATTGAAGTTATTTCCAAACCCAGTGGCACAAGTTATGATATATGTTTAACCTTTATCTTTCACTAAAAACCAAGGCAGTACATTATTGCTTTATTTCTCTGTACACAAAAAGTATATTTGCAGTAGTTCAATCATAAAATCTAGTGGATTTTGATAAAAGAAAAAACATTACACTAATGACGGTTTGAGTGATTAGCTACGTGACTCAGGATACATGGACTTGAGTTTTTAGGTGTTCCTTTATGTATGACAAAGTCCTGCAATATAGTTGTGCTAGTCACAAATTAGTTATATGATTTACATGAAACTTACAACACATACCAAACCGGCAATGGTGTCTGTAATGGGACTAGTTGTCTGGTAAGTACCTCCTTTCAGTTTGCACAGGAAGATTCCACAATTCACCTCAGGGGATAACGGGGTGAGAAGTGTAAATTTGAGGCCTTTTCATAGTATGTAGCCCATGACAAATGGTCCCTGCTTCTCTGTGATGAGTCCTGGTTATTGACGGTGGTGATCATAAAGGGACTCAAAGAGAGATAAGACCTGACCCAGTCCCCAAGGAAACACTGCATTGTTTGCTTAAACCCACATGCTTCTGTGGGAATGAGTTTAGTCACAAGTGTAGCAAAGCTACAAAAACAGAAAAAAAAGATGGAAAACAGCCTCAGTTTCTATCAATTGGGACCAGGTTAAAGAAGTTATGGTGCTTTCATACAATGGAATATCGTATAGACTTTGCAAAGAGATGGTATTGTATAAAAGACCTATTTAATTTTTGAAAAGCCAGAGGTGGGATTTCAAGCACTGTAAAAGCCAAGGCAGTCTTAAGCAAAGTCTTCATTCAGACTGAAGTGCACATATTCCAAGGGATCCCAAAGCCTTTCAAGGTGTTTACAGGCATGGGGAGTCTGAAGGGAATGAGTATTCTCTTATTAATACTAATCTTCCTGGGAAAGCAGAAGTGCCACAGGTAAGGCATTCCTCACTTTTCTCACCTTACAGAGTAAAGGCAGATGCCTCCCTTTCTTGAACTTTCCTTCAGTAGTGTATTGGCCCAGGTACAAAAACCCCTGGCCCATAGAACAAAGGCACTATTTGAGATACTGGTGTCTTCAAAGCCTCTTTCAACCAAGATATTACAAACCCAAGGAAGGGCTTCAGGCCTTGCCTGTCTTATATACTCTGATAAAAACACTTTTCCCTACACTTTCACACAGAATAGTCCCCATGGGGGTTGGGGTGGGGTGGGGGGTGGTTCCTTCCCATAGTTCTGTGAGTCTCTGAGGTCCCCAGCTGGGTGTTCTACAATCGATTCAATGCTGACACTGTCTACCTGGAGTTATAGTCAGATTCCACAAGCTAAGGGCTCACCTTACCTACTCCTGCACCATTTATTATCATTATTTTTTTCATTGCTATGAATGGAATCTGCACTCACATGCTAGTCAAGTGCTCACCACTGAGCTTCACCCACAGCACCTGCCCTCATTTCTTTTTTTTTTTTTTTGGTGGAACTGGGGTTTGAATTCAGGGCCTCATGCTTGCTAGGCAAGTGCTCTACCACTTGAGCCACTCCACCAGCCCTTTTTGTGTTAGGTATTTTCGAGACAGGGTCTCATGAACTATTTGCCCAGGCTGGCTTCAATCTGAGATCCTCCTGATCTCTGCCTCCTGAGTAACTAGGATTACAGGCATGAGTTCCCAGTGTCCATCAACTTTCCCTCATTTCTGATGTCTATGGCAGGTCTGGGTCTTGAACATTTCTCACCAACAGGCTATAAATCAAGAGTTCCAATGACCCCCTCTTCAAATTCAATAATTTGCTAGAATGTCTTACAGAACTCAGAGAAACACCTTCCTGACACTCACCTGTTGGTTATATAGGACATGATAAAGGATGGAGATAAACAACCAGGTGAAGGGTGCACAGGGTGAGGTCTGCAGGTGCACTGCTCTTCTAGCATGTGGGTGTGTCCACCAGGCTGGAGGCTCATCAAATCTAACTATTCAAGAGTTTTAACTGCTCAGTCTCAGCCAACTCCTGTTTCCCAGAGGCCCGTCGGTAGAGTTGAAAGTTCCAACCCTATAATCACTTGGTCATCCGGTAATCAGCCCCAACTTGTGTTTATCTAGGGATCCCATCCTAAGTCACCTCATTGGCATAAACTCGGTTTGATCAAAAGGAGCTTGTTTTGAACAAAAGACAACTCCTCTTCCAAGGGTTTTAGGAGCTCTGTGCAAGAAACTGGGAACAAAGACCAAATATATTTATTATTATATCCACATTACATACAGTATTTTAAAACAAAAAAAAAAGGCATTGGAAATGGAGGCTTTTGTCCTGGACTATATCACAGGTTGGCAGGACTTTTAACTTTTCAGTTAACAGTCATACTTCCTTTAGAGAATGTATCACTGTCTAGGGACTATGATATTAGGGCAAGGGCATGAATAATAAGCACTAAAGGTACAGGTCCTGATTTTTTTTTTTTTTGCTGCTAAGAATCAAACCTCATGCATGTTAGGACTCTGCCATGAGCTACACCTCCAGACAGCTCCTGCTTTTATACATGCTTGTATCATCTATCCATCATCCACCTATCTATCATCTATCCTTTTATCTGTTATCTGTCTATCTACCTATTATCTATCTCCTACTTATCTATCATCTATCCATTTATCTATCTATCTATCCCAAACTGCTTTCCCCACTGTGACAACTTAAGATAATCAACTTAGAAACCATAGCTCACTCTTCCATCTGTCTTCTATCTACCTGTCTAATCTACCTATATACCTGTCCATCTGTGTACCTCTACCTTTTCTAGAATTAAAAATAAAAGTAAAAATAAGAGGAAAAAAGTGCAAATAAAAGACAAGGTGGGTGTCACTGGGGAAATTCTAACATACATGCATACTTGAATTGAAAAATACAGTCAGAATCTTTCTGAGGGAAGCAAGCCTGAGGGGGTGAATTCAACTATGATACATTTGATATATTGGAATAACTTTTGTAAATGCCACAATGTACCCCCAGCACTACAATAAGAAAAATAATAAAAAGAAAAAAAAAAGAAACAAGCCTGATTTGGTTTCTTTAGCTCTCAGTGAAAACCTGGATTTCCAGTGATGTTTCCATAAATTAAATGAGTTAAATCTACAACTTTAAAGTTTTGATGAACACATAATTGATACTCATTGTAAGATAAAAGCATTTTATAAAAAACATAACACTGGAAAGATATATTAAAAATTTTAATGAATAATTATTAATGTTTCAACTTAACCTACCCGTTCTCAGTATCTTTGGTTAACCTAAGCACTGCTGAGAAAAAATCAGAGGTATAATTCATAGTCATATAAGAAGTCTTGGTTAAAACCTTTTGGCATGCTTCCCAGAAATGGAATAAGTGGACAATTCTAACGTTTGCTTTCAACAAAATGGAAAGAGAATCTAATTGAATTGTCAGTTGATGGATCAGTCTGCATAATAATCATAATAGGATTTTTAACAGTTAACCTGGAAGAATTCAAAAAATCTATTGGTATTGTTGTAACTAAATTCCTTCCTTTTCAAGTTGGTTTTTTTTTTTTTTTGGTGGGATTAGGGTTGAACTCAGGGCTTCACCCTTGCAAAGCAGGCGCTCTCCTGCTTGATCCACATCCCCAGCCTTTATTCACGAGTTTAAAATGATAGATGATGGCTGATGATTACTGTCATACTGCTATACTCTTAGATTCCTCTGGATTTAAATAATGATGTTAATAATTTTATGTTGTGTTAATATTTGTTATATACTATAAATTAGATCCCTTACAAATATTTGAACCTATCAGGAAGTAGTTTAAGCTGTACAAGAAGGTTAGTGTTTTCCAAAATTCTTTAAGTAGGCCCTCCATGAAAAATGTCTATAGACCTATAAAGCTGTGTTTTCAACCTTAGCACTACTGACTTTTGGGCCAATAAGTCTTTGTTGTGAGTGGCTGTCCTGTGCACTATAGGATGTTTAATGGCATCCAGTCCAGTCTTTCTTCCCCAGTAGGGACAATCAAAAATGCCACCAAATATCCCCAAGGATAAAAATGTGCTCTGGCCGAGAACCACTACTGTGAAATAATTTGAGGCCCATCGCTTAGTCCATTAGAACTGCTTCATGCCTGGCTAGAGTGAAGCAGTTACATACTTGGGGCGTTGGTGCCAGACAGCCAGGGTCCAAGTCTCGGCTTTCACTTCATTAGTGTGGTGATTTGAGCAGGTTACTGCATCGCTTTGTGCCTCAGTTACCTCAGCTGCTCAATGAGAATAATGGTAGTATCTGTTTCATGGATTATCATGGAGACTGACCTAGGGGTAGATGGACTGCTTTACAGCTTTGCTTAGGGAGGTGGTAGTGTTAGGTACTTCCTGTGATATAAGACATATATATTTGGTCTTTGTCCCCATTTCCTCACACAGACATACTAAGACCCTTTTGGTCTTTGTCCCAGTTCCTCACACAGACATACTAAGACCCTTGGAATTTCCTGAGAAATAAGGAGTGTCTTTTGTTCTATTGAGGTCACTCTCAGCAGGACCCTAGAGTTTCCAGATGGAAGCTAATCAAGACCAAGCCTTTGGGACTTTTAGCCTTACCTCCAACCTCCAGGTGGCAAAGAGGACCTGGAGATTGAGTTAATCACCAGTAGTTAATGGTTTAATCAACTGTGCCTATGTGTTAAAACCTTCACTAAAAACTTCTGGATTGGTGTGCACATGAAAGTGCTAGGAGCTGTCATGTCCAAAGAGGGCATGGAAACCATGTGTGTGCCCTTTCCCCTCTCTTCTCCAGGCTTCTTTCACTTGGCTGTTTCTGAGTTGTATC